AGGCTGCAAGCTGGAACCCACATATCCCAACACTGCTTGCCACATCACGATTTCAGGAAGGCCAAAGAGCACGTTCCCTACCTCCTCCTGCCACGAGGGCCTTCCTTGCGTGGCCCGTGGGCTCTCTCCAGGCCTCGTGAGTACGCCTGACCTGGGCTGGGAGCCCAGTGGATTACAAGGAGAAGCCAAGGTTCTCAGGAGGCCTGAGGAGCAACCAGAGTCGTGTGTGTGGCTGGCCCTGCAGAAAGGGCCCTGGGCTCAGCCGTGTGAAACCTTGGCCTTGCCTCAGCCTGTATGAGGAGCTGGCACCCCAACAGGATCTGCTCAGAGCAGGTGCTCAGAAGACGTGCTGAGTGAATGGAGGCACCGGTGAGCAGGCCGGGTCACAGTGGAGCGAAGCACGGCCCGACTCCGGAGATGGGGAACGGGCCCTGGGAGACCCGGGTTTGCTAAGGCCACATGTGCAGGGAACGGTGGGTCTAGACTCCAGCTGAACGCCTTGACTCCAAACACGAAGACCCTGCTGAGGAGCACGCCACCCCCCCGGCGAGCGCCCCTTGCTCTGGATTTTCCCTATACTTGGCTCCGCCTTCTCAGGGAGGTCAAGCTGTGGTTTCCAACTCCAACCTTGGCTTGACAGGTCTCCCACCGGGGCAGTCCTGCGACATAAAATCAGGGAGGCTAAGAAGGGGACAGCTCACTGAGACCACTCCCTGCTGGGGGTCTCTGTGCCACCAGCACTCAGATCAGCACGACTCTGGGGTGGGGCCGGCCAGGTGCAGCCCAGACAGACCACTGCAGGGAAGCTGGGAGTCACCAAGGTCCCCAGACAGGGTCCCAGGTACAGTTCCAAGTGCGAAGTGTGGCTTCTCATTTACCATGAGGCCTTGAGAGCCTGGAACCTGCTCAGTCACCGATAAGGACAGTGAGCCTGAGCGCGAGGCTGCCACGTTCAGCCAGCAGGTGTGAACGAAGCGCATGCATCTGGCAGAGGTGGACTGAGCTTCCACACCCCACAGGAACACGGGTGCTTCGGCCACAGGAGGGAGCTTCGGGTTTCGGCAGAACACTGACTACAGACCCAGCGCAGAAATAATGCCGTGGGCCAGTGAGCTAGTAAATTGCTCCTGGGGGTTTCCCGACGGGAAAGGCGTGGGCTCAGATGTCTGCCACCAGCGTGGTGTGGGCCCCCCCCTTCCTGCCCAGCCACTTCCACCTCATCTCCACAGGGACTGCCTCGCTTCAGGCCCGTGCCACCTCTCCCTGTCCGGTCCGATGGCTGCCTACTGTGCCCCTGGCTCTGCCCTCTCCACTCCCGTCTGCTGTCCAGCATTTAGCCAGAGTGATCCTCCTAGAACTCAAGCCACCCAGGATCCCTCATGGCTCTCAGGATGAACTCTTCGGGCCCCTCCTACCATTCTCTGACCTGCACCTCCGACTGAACTCCTGAAGTCATGTGGTACTCCTGCCTTGGCTTCCCGAGTAGCCGAGACTACAGGCACGCACCACCACGCCCGACTCCACGGTGATTTTCTCCGACCTAAAGGCTCAGTCAGTGTCCCCTGCTTTCCTTTAGACTTTCACCTCCTTTTCCCAGGGCTTCCGTCTTTCCTACCTGGATGTTCTCTTGTACCAGTGGGTTCACCCGTATCTTCACAGAATCCTGAACTTTAGGATCAAAAGTGACCTGTTGAGTCATCTAGTTCAATCCCTCTTTCTGCCCATTCCATGCCTGATTCCGGATCTCATACTCTCTGCGAAGGCTGGTCCAAATCTGCTTGCATAGGTCTGGTGGCAGGAGCTCATTCCCTCCAGACCGAGCTTTCTTTGGAGTGAACCCGGGAGAACCAGACCCAAGAGGAGTTTCTCTGCATTGGGAATAGTTTCTTCCCCGCAGCCTCCAGGCTTGGCCATGGTCTCCTGGAGTCTCATAAAACGCCTGACCCCGTCTCCTGGCTGGCCCTTGAGAACTGAAAGGAAAGAATCCACAAGGTCCCTACCCTAGCCATGCCCCTCTGTACTCTTTCAGCAGCCCAAGTTCCTGCAACTATTCCTCTTGTGCTTAGTGTCAAATTCTGGCTTCCTTCCCTGCTGCCCAAAGATCAGGAACGTCCCCACAACTCCTCGTTTCTTTTGTGTGGGGCCCTTCCCTGTCCTGGCCTTGAGTGGCTCCCACGCACTCCAGGGAACTGTTTTCCTCACACTGTGGCGCGCCTGGTGCAAAGTGCAGTTTCCCGGGCACGGCCTAACTGTTGCAAGTGAGTGGAATCACCACTCTCTTCGTTCTAGAGACTCGGTGTCGTCCAGCGCTACCACATCAGGCTATGAACTCAGGCTGAGCTGTGAGTCGGGACTCACCTATACTCCCCGAGTCCCACCACGCTGCACCAGTGCTGCACCGGGGCAGGAGGCGGGACTGGACATTCTCCAGGCCACGCCGTGCTTTGCGGCAGCGATACAACCACCATTTGTTCAGGTAGCAGCTTCTCACGCCGGCATTTCACCTCTGACCCTCAACACAGCCTCACAAAGGAAGTATTCGCTATCATTCCCTCTCTCCCAATCTTAAAAAAAAAAGCAGCATTTTAAAGTGTGGTAAGACATACAAAGCCTCACATTTCCCATATTCACCATCTTTGAAGAATGGCTCAGCTGCAGCAAGGACGTGGCGCTCGTGCGACACTCTCCAGAACGTCTTCCTCTTGCAAGACCGAAACTCCGTTCCCATTAAATCACAACGCCCCGTCTCCCTTGTCCCTGGCCCCTGGCAACTGATACTGTGCTTTCTGTCGCTGTGCCTCTGATTACGTAGGGGCCGTCTACAGGTGGAGTAACACAGCAGGTGTCTTCTTACGATGGGCTTATTGCCCCTGGCATAATGTTCTCCAGGCTCATCTTTCATTTTTTGCAAGGCAAATAGATCTTAAAAAAAGAGGCTAAGCGGCCCATCAAGGCCACACAGTTGGGATGTACCGAGTTAGCCCTTGACCCAGGTGTCACTTTGGAGTTGGCATCTTTCTCTACGGCCCGGTCTGGTCACCTAGGATCCAGTGAGTGACTTCAGCACCTTGAAGAGTGTGTCAACTCTGCCAAACCTCTTTGGTGCCCGGGGACACCTCTGAGCCCAGAGCCTGCTCTGATGGTGCAGTGAGGAACCGTCTGACTCACCGGTGCATCTCAAGGCAGGCAGGCCCAAGACTGGCCTGGGCGGGGTGGAGGAGGGGAGGCGGAAACTTGAGAAATACCAATGGCAACCCTGCGACTGAGAAGGTAACTCCTTCCAGGAACTACTTCCGATTGAAGGCCCCTGCAAAGCCGGGCGGTGCAGACTGGGTAAGAGCGAAGGGCCAAAGTCGAGGGGCTCAGCCAATAAGGCCTCTGTGAGGCGCAGCAGCTGTGCTGGATGGCCTGCCTGTCTGAGACATGGTGGGCCAGGACGGCAAGTGCTCTGTGTTCCTGTTTCTGGGGCTGGTGCTCAAGAGCCCAGGCTCTAAAGCCAGACTCCAGGGTTCTGGTCCCGGTTCTGCCACCGACCAGTCGTTGACTGCAGGCTCCTCACCTGTAAGATGGGAACCATGACAGCACCAAGCTCAGTGGGCTGCTCTGAGTCTAAGGGGTTCCCGGCAGGTGAAGTGCTTGGAGCAGAGCGGCCAGCTATTCTATCGCCGTAATCAGACTCTGAATTAAACCTCAGGGGATTCACCTCGTATGCTCAGCTGAGTGCCCTTCACAGGGCAGGCTCGGGGCCCTCAGTGACCCACAGAAGAAGTCTCCTTGCTCCAAGATCACTCCCATGCAGAAACTGACTTCAGGTTGCTTTTATGGCCAAGGAACTGGCTAGAATGTTCTTCCAGGCTGGGCGCGGTGGCTCAAGCCTGTAATTCCAGCACTTTGGGAGCCTGAGGCGAGAGGATTGACTGCCTGAGCTCAGAGGTTCAAGACCAGCCTGGGCAACTTGGTGAGACCTCGTCTCCACAATAAATCAAAAAATAAGCTGGGCACCGTGGCACGCCTGTAGTTCCTGCTACTTGGAAGGTTGAGGCGGAAGGAACGCCGGAGGCCACGGTGGCCGTGAGCCTGCCACGGCACTCCAGCCTGGGTGACAGAGTGAGACTCTAACTCAAAAAAAAGGAACGCTCTGCCCCAAGCTGCGGGCAGGCACCTGTGGAAGTCTTATAAAGTGGCTGTGGAGATCTGAGAAGGGCTTTGATTCCACGCAGGCGGCGCTTGCCTGGGTGGTCTGAGGCAACCCGTGTGCTGTTCTTGTGCCTGTGGCTGCCCAGCGATGCAAGAGTGGGGAGAGGCCACAGCCTGAGGTCTTCTGGGCTACGACAGCACTGGCTGCCACTCCCTGCAAGTAAGAGAATAATTGCGGGGCCCTCCTTCTTTTCAGAGCAGCAGCAGCATTTGCTAATGCAAAGTGCTTTACGTTCTGGAGTCCCTGGGGAAGAAAGGGGTTTTCGGGGTGGCTGAATTTTCCAGGGAGCTGAGCGTTTAGAACGCCCGAGCGCCGTGTGCCTGTTTTGTATCGAACACTGTGCTGGGCCCTTCCCAGGAAGCCTCTCTGACTCACAGGAGCAGCCGACTGGGAGCTTCTCCAGAGCAAGTGGCTGCACCTGGGAGATGGCAGCAACCAGGAATCCTCTCAGGACAACACTGTGGGAGGAACTCTAGTGTGACAAACGTCACTGCTCCAGAGATGGATATTAAAGGCATAGATTAAGAAAAAGAAACAGTCTCCACTGTGAAACAGACGTTCACCACGGTATGTCCAAGGCCCACGGTATGTCCACATCACAGACTTTGCCAGGGACATGGCGCTTGAGACTTTGCATATATTTCCCTACTTCTCTCCACACCAGAAAAAGCATCGACGTTGACAGTGGTACGTAAAAGACACAAGAGTAACCGGACTTCTAACTCAGACTGATGCACCTTCCGAGATGACAGAAGTGGGCCTGCTTTTGTGGCTTTGTGCCTAAAAGCTTCTGACACCCTACCTGGTTTGCTCTCTCAAGGTCCGTCATGATCATTTCAATCTCGTCGGCCCTAGGAGGGTGAGAGGGAGAGAGCGCATTAGTCACAAGGAGGCTGGCTCCGGTAGTAACCAACAGGACAGCTTCCCAGCTCAGAACACAGAATGATCACACTCACAGAGGCGAGGCCCATCCCTCGCGTGGAGGAGAGAAGGCTCATGCAGACCCGGGAGGGACCACTGCTGCCCACCGGGAGGAGGCATGACTGCGGGCTTCATGTGTTTAAGGGTTAATAACCACGTGTCTGGGACACACAGGACACCTGCCCTTGAGGGGCTCCCAACCTCATTGGGGAGACAGAGTCAAAAAAAAAAAAAATACGGTGTGTCCTGCCAAGGGTTTAAATAGAGCTCCAAGCTGAGTGCCCTGGAAAAACAGAAGAGGGAGAGATGAGTCTCCTTGGGGGAGGCTTCCGAGGAAGTGATGGGGTTTTAAAGGACGTGTAGAAGTTTTCCAGGCTGGAGGTGAGAAGAGGAGCTGGGAAAAGACTACTTCAGAAAAAGGCACTTGGCAGTGAAGGTCTCGCTAGGCTTGAGGGAACCAGAAGTTGGCCGGCTGGAGGGGAGGGTAGACATGCAGGCTAGGGACCCTGCAGGTGGCTGTGTAAAACCACCGGAGTTCACTGTTGGCACATGGCTTGCTCAGAAAGGCAGAATCTCCAGGTTCTGCCCTTGTCTCTTTTTTCTGTTTTGAAAGTACTTCCTTGAGTAATCTGAAGGCAAACACACAGTTCTAACACAGAGCATCATGAGAGAGGAATGCTGAGAGGCTCCTGAGAAGGGAACAGCCAACGCCAAAAGTCTGGGGGAGGTCAGAACAGGAGGCCCAGGCAAATCACTGCCCACTTCTGCAAGCCGGATCCTGAGGGTGGCCCCTGTTAGGAGATGGCAGGCTGTGGGACCGTCTGTGACCCGTTTTAGCCCACCCTCGGGCCACGGGCCTGGACGTTACAGTCACAGAGACCCCGGCTGGGCTCTGGGTCCTGGGTCCTCCACCATTTGCTCTGAGTCCCAACGCACCTGCACTCTCTGCTGCCGACAGGACTCAGTCCCTTTCTCACTGTACACACAGCCCTTCTCCACGAGGAGTGTGTCTTCCTCCCGGCCCTACCCACCATTTGTCTCCATGGCCCCCTGCTCTGACGACCCCACTGTGTGCGGGACCCCAGAGAGCCAGGCCTGGCCCGGCATCGGGCCTCCCCCCTGCCATCTGCCTGGATTGCCTCCACTCCTGGGAACCTCATCCGCTGCTCTGTCAGACCTCCCGGTCAGACCCTCCCAGTCCCCCCACGGCCTTGCCTTGGGGAGCGGCATGGTTTGTTCTCCCTAGTTTGCAGGCTTGAGCTTTCGTCTGACGCCCCCACCGGCAGCGAGTGCTCTGAAAGGCTGAGCTCTGTGTCCTGCATCACATGACTTCACGTCAGTCTGGATGCCAGTCCCAACTGTGACCTGCCCTGCCGGCGATGGACACGGCTGCTCCTGGGGCACCCGGACAGGCCTGACGATGAGAGTTCTGTCTTTCTGAGACCTGCTTCACGGGTCCTAAGGAGGCACATGCCGTGACCCACAGTGCCTGCCTACCCGTCATAGTTTGTTTGTCCCCCCCAAAACTCATGTTGAAATGTGATTCCCATGTGGCAGTGCTGGAGGTGGGCCCGGTGGGAGGCCTTGGGCCATCGGGGCAGACCCTTCACGAATGGTTTGGTGTGCCACTCTCGCGGTGCTAAGTTCTTGCTCTGATGAGACCAGATGAGTTCTCCAGGGAATGGGCTCATTTTTGGAGAGCGGGTTGTTTTAAAGCCAGACACCTCTCGGACTGTCCCTCTTGGCATGAGTCTGCTCGCCTCTGACCTTCTCTGTCACGCTATGATGCAGCACAGAAGCTTCTGCCCACAGCAGGACCATGCCCACGACCTCCCTAGCCTGCAGTGCTGTGAGCTGAGGAAGACCCCTCTCTGCCACACCGCCCAGCCTCGGGTGTCCCACTACGGCAACACAAAAGGGACCAAGGCACACCCTCGGCACCGAGAGCTGGAAAAACTGTCTGGAGGCCCCTGGGCCGGGTTGTCTTCGTGGCCTGAGGCTTTCCCAGCCTTTGACTGCACACTGTGACTTGAGGCAATCTTGTCAACTCCCAGCAGTCTGAATGGGGTAACAGATGCCTTGTGATCAGGTTCAATGCTCATTGTATCTGTTTGAAATAATATCCGGCTTTCAGACTGGTCTGAGAAAAAGTCTGAAACAGCCTGTCAAATGGCCTAGTTAAATGACGCTATTTTTAGGCCGATTTCACGAAGAAGGCAGTGTCTCTGTAAGATAAATACCCAAACTGGGCCTCTGCAGTGAAGCCCTGGGTGCGGGGAAGGGGTAGCTTGAGTCATGAGACATCCTACTGGTTCATCTCAAATTGAAACCTCCAAGACCTTATAGAAAAACTGCTGTGCAAGACCATTTAATAACCACAAAGGGTTAAAAAAATCACGGAAAGTGTCGAGGGTCCTAAACACAAAGGAAAAGAATGATCAACAGTCACTGCAGAAAGCTGCTACCTTGACAAACTGCTGAGGAAGGATTCAGAGTGTGAACTCTGATACAAAATGAAACTCAAAGCGTGTCCACTTTTCTTAAGGCAAATCGGAAAGTTTTGGGTTGGGCATGGTGGCTCACACCTGTAATTCCAGCACTTTGGGAGGCTGAGGAAAGAGAATTGCTTAAGCCCAGGAATTTGAGGCCAGCCCAGGCAACAGAGTGAGACCTTGTCTCTACAAATTATCAAAAAATTAGCTGGGTGTGGTAGCACAGGTCTGTAGTCCCAGCTACGTGGAGGATGATACAGGAGGATTTCGTGAGTCCAGGAGATGGGGGCTGTAACGGTCCGTGATTGTGCCACTGTACTCTAGTCTGGGCAACAGAGTGAAATGGTGGGGGAAGATAAACACAGTTTTGTGCTTTAATCGGACAGTTAGGTATTTATCATAGATTTACAAAGCCTAGAAATCCACACTGAACTAGCACTGTCATTCATCTACTTACTTGTCCCATGAGCTTTTAGGACACCTCAAGAGTTCTGGTCTTGGGATGGGGGTAGACAGAGGCAGACGTGGGTCCTGCATATCTCACCAGTGTCGTAGATTTAGAAGAAAAAGATGGAAATGGGCAGCTGCTGAGTACCCAAAACAAGATATGCGGGGGAACAGAGGCTGATGACGCCTGACCCCTCTCGCCAGTGCATTAGCAGAGGAACGCCAAGCTCATTGATGAGCAGAGACACTGAGCATGTGCTTAGGTGAGGACTTTTCCTAACCCCTTCTCTGTGGTCCTCCAAGAGCCTGATCAGCTTTAATTCTGGCGAACTTATCTTCATTTGAACACTCCTTCCATTCTGTTTGGGACTTCTATTATTTGGATATTATTGGCATACACCCTTCTGTCCTCCATGTCATTTAGCCTTTCTTTTGTATGTTGTTATTTATCTTTTCTCACTGCCTTCTGGAAGGTCTTTTTTTAAAAAAAAATGTTCAGTCACCTTTCTATCTACTGAATAAACCAGTTGTGTGATATTTTTAGTGCTCATTCTTTTTTTTTTTTTTGAGTTGGAGTCTCAGTCTGTCACCCAGACTGGAGTGCAGGGGGCGTTCCCGGCCACTGCAACCTCCACCTGATGGGATCCGGTGATCCTTCCGCCTCAGCCTTCCAAGCAGCTGGAACCACAGGCACACGCTACCATGCCCGGCTAATTTTTGATTTATTGTAGAGATGAGGTCTCGCCAAGTTGCCCAGGCGGGTCTCGAACCCACGGGCTCAGGCAACCCACTCACCTCGGCCTCCCAAAGCGCGGGATTACAGGCTGAGCCACCGAGCCCGGCTTAGAAGGTTCTTTAACTTGCTCTAACTGATTTTTAGCTATACCCACACTGCTGTCTGTCCTTTTTGGCTCCTCAGTTTATTTGATTTTTCATACCTGCTACTTCTACTTGGTTCATTTAAAAATCACTCATTGCATTGCTAGTACGCATCTCTGCTTCCCTGAATGTTATTTCTGAAGCTTAGTTAGTTTCGCGGCCCATCTGTCCTGCTTCAGATGATACACACTTTTGGGTCCGCAGTCCTTCAGGAGGGTTGCTCTCCTCTGCGGCCCAGCTGTTTTTGCCTGCATGCCTGGGTCCTTCTGGGGGTGCCAGCTACTCTTTCTGGCAATGTACACGGGGGGAGAACAAGAAGTCAGCAGTGCTATGTCTCTCAGATGCAGTGAAGAAAGAAAGCACACAGTGGGTTCAATACATTTCTGCTGAATGAAGGGGGGAGGGGAGGGAAGGAAGGGGAGCCCAGATCCCCAGACCCCTCAACGATGCCTACCCTCTGCTGTCCCCCCACCAGGAAAACCCTCTGGCCTGTCATCCCCCAAGAGAAGCAGCATGAGGAGAAGGCAGGCTCCCTAGTATACTTCCCCATCCACCTGGTGTTGAGCTGAAGGGCTGAAGAGCTGGAGGCGTGGCTGCTTGGGGTATCTGCCCACCCTCGGCTGTTTTATCCACTTCTCGCTCCTGATCTGGCTGTTGCTGGCAGCCAAAGAATCAGGGAACAGACACACACCAGGAGAAGAGAAGAGAGGGGTTCGGGGCCGGCTGCACACAGAGGCCACTTGGCAGGCTGGGATCCTGGGGGCTGGAAGCGGCATTCAGCTGCTGCCGGTATATGGGGCTGGGTGGGCTTGGGTGTCCCCTTGCAGACACACATGCCCCAGATTTCCTTCCACAGCCAATCGCCCGGATGCTCATCAAAATACCTCGTGTCCGGAAACCAGGCCTCAGCTCCTAAAGACTTCAAGTCACTTATAAAAAACGAGGCACATTTAAACAGGAAGGTGTGGTCTCGGCAGTCCCTGGAAATGCACTTCGAGTTTTCCATCTACGGGTCAGTCTCACTTTGGTTACTAAGCAACCACCAGACTGACCAAAACATTGAATGTGATAACAGCAACTGTGCTTACCTTTCACTATGAGAGCAACTCTTG